GACGGTTTTGGATTGCAAGAGAGAGCATGTTTCTGCCCCTCGAGACCACGTTACTAGGTTTCACTAGCTCTTTTAAATTGGTAATTCTTCGGATTTTCATTACTGATACCGAAATTCTAATTTTTATGACGGTGAAAAATTTTGAGCCAACTTCGCGTTAATTGTGTAGTCTTTAACTACAAGGCTTAGTTTAAATTCGAGTTGAACTGCTACTTTAGGATACATCGCCACAAGTGGTAGTTGATTTGTAAGCCTGAGATGTGCTTTTTATAATCAAGATCTAGTTTCATCAAAAGGTTGTTTTAAACCATTGTTATTTCCGACGAAGTGATAATTCGCTCCATGCTACCGAAGAAGGTCAAACTCCATAAGTGTAACAAACTCTACTTTTCATTTACACTATTAGTTGTTCATTGCATTAGATAACAAACTTCTAAGATTTTGATTTAAAGTAATGAGTTAGTCGCTTATGCTAATCTGTTTTTACCATTTCTATTTATACATGCGTTTTCACCATTACCTGGGTTAGCTGAGAAACACCGTGTAATTATTATTTAGTCATCTTGAACTGCCAATAAGGTATTCTGAATATTTTCAGGCGATTAAGCTAAAGCACTTCATCCACGTTTCCAGTCTATCACCGAACTGAAATAACTCAGATATTCCTTTGGTGAACAGAAATCTTGCCTGTTTAATATTTTGTGTATTTAAGTGGTGACACGTAGCAGCAGATTATATTACTAGTTGTTTTATGTTAAGCTCGAGATTATATTTGATTTGATAATACTTCCCGCAAGCATGATAATATGATTTGATAATACTTACCTCAAAATATATTTAGCCTCCCTTAAGTTTGTAAATCTGCAAGTTGTAGAATGAATTTTTAAGATTAATTCCGTTTCTTGAAGTGCTATTAAATTGCACCCAAACAGATAGTTAGGACGGTGATAACGTACCTAAGCATAATATGATTTAAATAACTTGATAGAAGTTCGTGAAAACTATATAAATACTCGGTAACAGACGCAATTATTAACTATTTATGCCCCTTCACGATCCTGGAAATTCGAAATATTTTTTAGCTTTTTTAATTTTTTTTTTTAATTTTTGTTATAAAATCTTTTAAACAGCATGAAGTTCTTAATATGTTTACACTGTTCCACATTCACAAAAAATAATAACACATGGACATAAACCTTGTTTTGACGTTGATTTTATAGGACTGAACTTGGAAATATTCGACCTTAAACTGATAACTTTTATGAATTTTAAAGGAGAACAGGTTCCGTTTTCTCAATGAGCAAAACTACTTTACTGAACAGGAAGTACCAAATAATCAAACAAAGTACAACAAACAAATAAGAAACGATCTCGTAAACGAAAGAGCAGCACATTATGTTTAAAACGGTATTGCTTCTTGAAGAGAAAACTCCATATCTGTCTAAATGGGAATGCAAATAAAAATTTCTGTAAAATGAACTAGAATAATTTTTATATCAATACAACTAACTCTGAATTTATCGAATTTTGCATTTAAACCTGATGTGCTTCGCTGGCATATATTTTAACAGTAGAGATTAAATGCTAAATACCGAATACTGTAAATAAATTTTATTTAACGTATTATCATTGGAATTAAAGATTAAAGCTTAATTGGACCAATTAAATGGACAGACAGGAACATGTTCTTCATATCTTTCTTTGTTGAGAAATCCTCAATGAAGCTATATGCTTCAGAATGCTGATATTTGTTCTTAAATACTGAAATTGCAGCAGAGGATATAGACAAAATCTGACAAATTTTTAAATTAAAGTGTATTGAGAAAGAAACTTGCAACAAGATATTTAAAACGCTACTGTAGCAGCTGGAAAATAAGCTTATGTCATCGAGATGGACAAAGTCAAGCGATTAAAAACTTCATTAGTTTCTTCTTCCCAGATAATATTTGAGCATATAAACTCATATCCAGCATTATCTTTACGTACACGAAATCAGGTATTTTAAGGAACTGTGAACCACAATTTTATGAATTTTGAGGAATGACACACAATATCATGACATATAAGTGCAAAGGGTAATACTCAGAACCGCATGCGATATAAAACTGTAGCATAAAATAATAAAAGTGGTTAAAAGTATAAAAGATAGCTCCTTCCTCTTTTCCTGTTCCTGCTCAAGCGCCAGTTGTAAAGTCTTTTAGAATTTTTCAACGTAAGTAAATCGAAGAAATCTGCAATGACCTCACTGGGATTCGAACTCGGGTTCTCCCGAATACGCGTCGAGCATGCTTCTAGTTACACCACGAAGGCATCGGAAAGAAGAGAGAAATAACTTATAAATATATTACAAGGAGAGTTCGGAAAAAGATGAATAACTCAAAATTAAGAATTGTGAATTAGATATGGATTTTGATCTCCCCTGATTTGTACACACATATCACAACGCATTTTCATACTAGCAATCACATTGTTAGCCACATTCTGAGAAATTAAGACCTCTTAGGCAGCAATGAGACCTTCAGAATACTTGCATATCTAGGAGAAGTATATCTATCTCATTGCAACTGCTTTTCGAGGTAGCCTCATAACTTCTCTATCGGGTTAAGATCAGGAAATTTTACTGGCCGCTGCTTGGAGTTCCCGCTTTACAGACTTTTCCAAGTGATACTTCGGAGCCATGGCAAACTGTTTTTAGGCCTTACACAAGTAAATCAAATGCTGTACTGCAGATTCTCTTGAATAGTCATTTTGCGCAAAGCACTTGATTTACCAACATGTGACGTAACATCTTGATTTACGTATCAGAAACAGTTTGATGACTTTTGTTTGAACAATGTTAATTAAGATTATTTTTTACACATTCCCTGCAAATATGGGTTACGCCGATTAGATATTTCAAAGAGCATAATTATTTTTGAGTATGCAAAGCTTAAGCGACACAAAAAAAAAAAAAAAAAAAAAAAAAAAAAAAAAAAAGAAATATGCAGCTTTTTAGTTAAAAATTTATTCATATTTAGAATATTTAGAATGTCCTCATGCCGCGCAGACACTATACATTTAAAAACATCCGTGCCTTCTCCGGGATTCGAACACGGGCACTTTCCCATGGCAGTGAGCGACGCTAGTGAAAAGTAATATAGTGATACAGCTGAGAGTCAACGAAATCTCTAAACACTCTAAAATATTACAGAATACTTATATTGTGTAAGAGCAAGCACATTTCCCACAGATATAAACTGACATGATCTGTTAGAGAAAATTAAATATCGAATGTCAAAACCTCGTTCCAATATGATGTCCATAAACAATACGAAAACAAAGATGAAAATAATTAATTTTGAACAATTATTTGAATATGGTATGTTTATTTAGCAAAATAAAGCTTAAGAATTTGCATAATAATATAATATATACAGAAAACTCTGATTGCTATGCATGAAGGTATTCGTACAGAATGGATTCATTTGATTGATAATCACTATCCTGCGGTATTCCTCAGTAGATGATATTGTAATTATTTCGCAGGTTAACAAGTTATGAGATACTGGTAATAGGCACCCCAGTAATGAGAATTCTATTTGAGAGTAGACAAAAGGAAGTTTGTGAAACGCATATACGTGTTAGCGACTGGTCCATAGCGAAGCTGTTTTCGTGCTTCTCATAACTTCTACTATCGAAAGATCGACTTAAACAACTATTTCTTTCCTTCATTGTTAGGTATGTAGAGACAGTATGTTATTTAGGACGCGAAAATAGAGCAGTGCCTTCGCCGGTACTCGAACCTCGGATCTCTCGAATACGCGCCGAGAATGCTGGGCATTACACCACAAAGGCATGCTAAGAGGGCGGGAGAAATACTTTATGTGCTTCCCCTTTTAGAGGGCGTCTGGGGATTAGAGCACCCAATCGCCAAATCCTGGTGGTGAGGAACCATCTTACATTATCTTTAGTTCGGGCGCCATTATAGAGAGATTAGGTTATTTTGGAAACAGAATACATGAAAAATGACTCCAGGATTCGAATCTAGGAACTCCCGAATACGCGCCGAGCATGCTGGCCACTACACCACGAAGGCATGTTAAGAAGGCGAGAGAAATACCTAATAGGTATAGTTACTTTTTTACAAGCAGTAGAATCAAAACAATTTCTTACATTCACTGTCTGACGATTACTTATTTATACGCGATCGGTTTATAGGAAGACCAAAATGCTTCTAATATACTTATGATTCTACTATACTATTTCTTCCATATTGTTTTCCTACCATTAGATTGATCTTCAAAGCGTTCGTAATAGCCTAAACGAGTAATTATTCTCTTACGTTATTCAAGGCGAGCGTTAGCTGTGCACTCTGAGTTCGTTCGTTATGTTCAATAATGTGAATGTTTTGCATATATCTAGCAAAGAGGTATTTGCATGTTGAGTTTCATCGTGATATGATAACATTTTTTATATGTGCCCATTTTTAATCGCAGAGGTAATCAGAAAGTTGTAAATTAAAGACGTTTTCAAATGAGATGTTTGCTTAATAAATGTCATATTTTAGTTAGCATAGCTGCTTAAAAGGGATAGTTCACATAAACTGAGTTTATATCTTTATTTAGATAACCGAAAACTGTGTTATTTGCCTGTCGTCTGAAAACTGAATATTGTGTGATTTATTTTAAAGAATTTGAATTCAATAGATAAACATTAAAACATGGATAAGCTAACCCCATACGTTTTCGTTATTTGAGAACTAAGCAAAAATTTGGAATCTAATTTCTGTTTCGTTGGAAAACAAACTCTAAGTTATCAAAAATTAATAGTATCATTTATTTGTTTGTACAATTGCTTAATTTTTTTTTTTTTTTTTTTTTCGTATTGATGAAAGATCAGCCTACGTATGTTTTCTTTGCATCGAAAGAAATAATTAAACAATCATAAAATATACTAATGAAAACATCTAAAAAGATAGATTCAAATTTAGTAAAAGAAATTAAAGGAAAATACACACGTACTGCACAGTCCTGTGTATGCAACGTCTATATCTGTCTTTTGATCGCATCCTTCTTGTTTTAACTTGCATATATTTGTGTAAGATATACCGTCTGTTCCACAAACTGGTTCAAATTCCTCCGTACAAGTTGGGCATTCACATACAGCATAACCACCTTTCGATACACATATAGATCCGAAGTGACAAGTATGTTTGTGGCATGGACCACGCTCACCTAAAACAGAAAGTGTCATATCATGAGCTTTAGGTTAATAATTTACATGCATATTGAAATATTCATAAAAATATGATTAAAAAGAACAACTAAGAATATGATAATCCTAATTTGCTGTATAAATACACTTATTAATTAAGAAGTTATATGTAGTGTGGTAAAACAGAACACATACTGCATGGACCTCTTGCACTTGAGTATGATATTTTTAGTGTTTTTAGTGTTTAGTTTCGGTTGCTATGAAGAAAGCAGAAATGTATTGTCCAGCTTACATGTTCATGTTCCATGTGCATAAGTAGAGGAATTAGTTTTTTATTCTTTGTGGCCTAATAGTTGCGGCCAGAAAATAGAAGTATTTGGCATTTTCTATTTTGTAAATCGTTATTTAACGGTAGTAAGTTGAGTTGAAACATATAGGTCATTTTTATCCCAAGCTCGATGTATTTTGCAGAAATTTAACTTTCGGATCGTTTATTCTCCCATCAATAAAAGTCCGAGTTCCATACTCAAGGACCCCATTCTGGATATGAATTCCTGGGGTATTTACAGGATTCATTTCCAGTGTGAGTTAATTTGCATGGGACAAACTACGAGAGCCTTAAAATTTCGCGTTAAGGAACATGAGACATATGTTAGAAAAAAGGAAACTCAGAAACCTTCTGTTGCCCAACATTGTTGGTCCGAAAATCACACTTTTAATTTTTCTGCTGCCAAAATTATTCAAAAAACATCTTCCATTGATGAACTGGATTTTCTGGAGGCATTTCACATTAAAAAAGTCTTTCTGCTCTAGTTAACGACCCTAATTCCAATCCATCTTTGCCTTCAGCCTTTAAAGAAATTATGTTTTAGTTCTGGTTTCATCAACAGATAGCGCCAGTAGCTTATCTCCTGTCCAGGCTTTCTGTCCAGGCTTATGTCGCTCATTTGCGCTTTTGCAGCTGAGGATGATGGTTCGGTAAAACCATCAAAACTAGTCCTGTGAAATTTGGAAATATAACGCTGATTTTTGTTGTTTGACTTCTAAATTAATATTTGTTCGGCGTTTTATTGTATCTTAAAACTAATACTAGTTACCGAAGTAAGATTGTTAATAGCTAGTTCCAAAGCAGAAATGAAGAAGAGCAAGGCAGTGACAGACTTTACGTTTCGTTCAAAATAGATGTTAATATTGCTCCCCAAATAGTCAGAATTTTCCAATAATCTAACTGTTATTGGTGACTGATTCTATGTCGGCACACCCATTATGTTCAACTCCTACTGTCTACAGCCTAGGATTTCGTCACGAGATGATGACACTTCCATTTGTCTGGAATCTCAGTGTATGGAATGCATGGCAGAGCTATAGAGCCTCTGATGTAACTTATCTTTGGATAATTTGTTTACAATTATAAATTAATTATTAAATGCTGCCCTTTTTCATTTAATGTAGAACAATGTATATTTGACTCAGAGTACAGCCTACGATCTAAAACTAGAATTAGAACTTATATAAACACAAACCGTCTTATGATATGAAATACATATCTGTACAACGAAGTTTATGCAGTTTTGGGGTAAACTTATGCGTTCTATATTATCAATGTAATCGCATTAGCTTTATTTTCATGGAATTGATATGCAACTCTAATATACGAGTAAACTGCAGAGTGCAAGCTCGCAGGTAATGTAAAGTCCACTTATTTACGACATTTAGTTATTGTATTGACTGCCAAAAGCAATATTTTTAACTAGTTAGAATACATTATTAATATGACTAGTCAAACTGTATAGCTTAAAATGAATTAAGATAAAGTAGAAAGAATGTCTTTGAATACGTTTCATTGTTTTATAATAAACTTATAAAATGCTTAAATAGCAACTTATAAAACTTATGCAACTTATAAAAATGCTTAAAGCGAAAATTATAAAATTCAGGAATTAGGGCACAAATTTTATTTGAAGCATATACCATACCGAATTAAGTTTCCTAATTTGAAACATAATTACCCATAGCGAAATTCATGAACATTTTACGATTTTTTAAAACCTTCGCTGGCTTTTTCTTATTTGCTTCATACGCAAAATTAATTTTTAAAACACGCTTAGCATATGTATTTATATAATCTACTAAGTAGTATTGCTCGCAGTTTTTTAAACTCAGGTGAATTACGCTCCTCGAAACACATTAAAATAACTTCGAAACTTTGTTATGTTTTGAATTCTAAAAGTTCTTTGAGTGAAATGAGAGAAGTAAAGAGTAATATTTTCAAGGAAATTTTGTTTGCTTACTACAGTTTTCTACAATCTGGCAAACAGCATGTACGAAGTGAGATATGTCAAGATATGTAATCAAACTTCCTTTGCACAAGCTCTTTACTTATTTTTTATTTACAAAGTAATGTTAACTCATTACAAGTACCTTTTACTAAATAATTAGTTCAGAAGAGCATAGTCTAACGTGGAATGAGAATTTGGAACTGCAACGCATACGCAAATTGAATCTGTAATTTAAATTACACTTCACTTGAAGACTTAGAAAGAAAGCCAAAGCAATTTCACAATTCAATTTGCAGAAGTCCATTATATTTACTAACGAAAGAGGTAATACAAGCTGAATTGCAGACCTTAAAATTGAGACAGAATGTCTATAGATCAGTAGAAGTATAAATCTAATTACCTAACCAACGGTTAGAGCTTATCTGTGGGAACGAAGGCATTACTTTTCTGGCTGCAGTAGTATTAAATTAATCTACATAAAGCCCAAATTATACTGTAAATAACGCAACATATTTTTAACCAAGTTATATCTGGAAGTGAAATTACCACGTAGATTACCGGTTTTAGCTCATTAATGTTACGCTTGTGAAACATGGTTTTCTTAATATGCCAAAAATCTAGCTGATATCTTAACACTATTCCGCTAGCTGTAGATAAAGATAGAAAGTTGCTATAAATAACTACTATTCTTCATTTTAGAAATATGGATCTATTAATAATTATGTAATATTTATTCTAGCCTATGCGTTATTTTATATTAATTATTTTTATATGTTCTATTTCTACAATCGGTAGTCACCAAAATGCATATATCTCGCCTTTAAATAACAAGCGAATTTATAGTTGAGAGACAGAGAAAGCTGAGGCAGTCTTGCAGTAAATAGCTACTAACCTCCAGTCATTCTGCGTTTGGGTGAGTAATTTGAACTTTCTTCAGTCAATGCTAATTTCAGTTCAGCGTTGAAAATAACCTTTATGCTGTACTCTTTAAAGATTTCATATGCTGTAATGACGGCATGAGTGACAGCTAGTTTTGTTAAAAATTTTAGCTGTATAATAAGATGTCGCTTTTAGTGATTCTTTTAGTTAAATTTTAGGGCCTACCAGCGGCCGAGCGGTAACGTCGCTGAACACTGGTAGTTCGGTCCGAGGTTGGAATCCCGCGAACGGGCTGGCTGCATGGGTGTTTTCGTGGTTTTCCCCATGTGTAACGTGTATACGAGCCAGTTTCCCTTAAAAGGTCTTCCACGAAGGCATTCCTCCCTTAAGGCAGATAGTCCTCGAGTGCTTTGCCGTAATCTAATAAACCAAAACCAAACCAAAACTAGTTAAATTTTAGCTTTTCTTTGTGCTCATGGAATGTAAAGTTGGGTAAAAAAAAAAAAAAAAAAAGAAAAAAAAAAAAAAAACAGCAAAACCAGCAAACCTTAGCCGAAATTTGAACTCCGAACTTACCGAAACTAGGCGGACATGCTTTCCAGTTACAGCATGAAATTACACTGTAAGGAAAGAAAAAAATCTTTTCAAATTAACTTACTAACCGCAAAGAGGAAATAAAACAAACATCGGTCAATCTAATTGATCTCCCCCCAAAAATATCTTACTGTCAGGAATCAGTTGCTTATTATTATAAATTTTATTTAAATAGAGGAGGAAGTCAAAACGTTGCCAAATGTATTGTTTTTATTTAACCTAACATGTATAGCTTAAGTTACTTACAAATTAAATCAAGTCTCTCTCTTTTGCGTTTCTTAGACGATCTTAAATTCCTCTCTTTTTTCGAAACTTAAGCTATCTTTTTAAAATAAATGAACGAAATTATTTATTTTTCGTTTCAGAAATATAAAGAAATAATATGCATTACCGAAGAATGTGTCTTATATCAGTAGAATGTTTAATTGTTTCTTGCAGCATTTATTGAAAACATTTAAATGGCCGCTTAAGGCAAAAAGAAATGCTGTTAGATCTTTTATCTATGCGTCATTATGTAACTCGTCGGATGGTTTTATTTTTTTACTTGCCATGATAATTTCAATTTCGTTTATTAAATCAAACATCCTTTTAACACATTTTCGTACCTTCGTGCACATTCACAGCACGACAACAACTTAGCCAAATAAGACCCGTTCACATGCAACGCTCCTTCGCACAGCTGCAGTTAGCAAGAGGAGAAAAAGGAGACATGAACGAGTTTTGTCTTTAGGACTCGTTCAGAAGACCACCGTCTTCCTTCCCTTTACATCTAAGCCTCTGTGAACAATCACGTCTCCGAATTGGCAGTTTTCTAATACTGTTTACACATTTTTAAAGTTGTTTACTGCTGTTAATTTTGTAATCTGTGCTTTCGCAACTGGTGCCTGAACTTTCGTAATGGTTCCTAATAAATATATGCTTTTTAATTATTATTATTATTATTTTATAAGCTATTATTTAGTTCACTCTTGGTGCTTGTCGCTATGGTTAAAAGATGGTCGTGGGTTTTTAAAGTGCTTCCCGATAAGATATAGAACTCAAACTTTGTACATACACTGCTTGTGGATGTGGTGTCACGCTTTTGATTTTTAGAGGATTAGATTTTTTTTTTTTTTTTTTTTTTTCAAATTTAAAGTTGAAACTATTTTTTGTAAATATTAACAAATAAACTGAAAATCTCAGAATATTATAGTTTGCACCATAACACACTGTGGAGGAAAGAAAATTAAATGAAATTTTTAGCGTAATTTTTTTAAAAATATTTTGGG